ACGACTAACATGACCACAGATTGAGGAATAATGAAGAAGTATGGCAACTCGATGACGTTCCCTCATTATTCCGTGATAGATCTATACACTCATCGATATGGTATATTTAATGACGAATCTTTATTTATGATTTAAATGTATTACCTTTTTTAATATTATTTCTCATTATTTTCTAATTACAAAAGATAACTTTAAGATATTTAATTATTCACATTATGCTGAGGGCTCGGCCGTGCTGTGCACAACGATGGTCTGCTAGTATAGAGATTTAATTATTTACATTAATAACAAATAAATATAAATATTTATTAAGCTAGTTAATTAATTCGCCAATTTGTTAATTTATGATGTAGGTGGACCCGCTTGGACTTGAGAGAATGTATGCATTATTTTAATTTTAATTTTATTCTTTCCAAAGAAATCAGAAAGGAAATCTTTTGGCAAAGATATTTACTTCATCATCGCGAATTTGGAAGTCAAATCTTTTGATAGAGATATTCCCATCATGCGGTCCCTGCTACTGCAACTCTCTTCCAATTCGCTTTCTCCATTCTCCTTCACACGCTAACTTCCCCCAATTATCTTGTGTTTGAGGTAAAGATTTACTTGTCGGTTTTTCTTTTTTTTTTTTGTATTTTTTTTAATTTTACCCTACTCGTGCTGCAAGAGCACATAGTCTCGATTGACAAAGTCCTGCCTGGAAACGAACCCAGAACCTCGTCATGGGTGAGAATGCCCCTCGCAGAAAGGCCGACTTGTGGCTAACCCTCGGCCGTCATGTGCAGCTAACGGTGCCTCTAGAGAGCCTAATCGATCAACTGAAAGGAAAAATAAAGTGGTGGTTTTCATCAAGGGTTCGAGGGGGGACCCACAGTATGGGTTTTTTTGCAGAGTGGTGGCCATCCTCGAGAGCGAAAGGGGTGGACTACGAGTCTGTGGATGTGTTGGACGACTAACATGACCACAGGCTGAGGAAGAATGAAGAAGTGTGGCAACTAGATGACGTTCCTTCATCTTTTCATGACAGATCTATACACTCATCGATGTGGTATATTTAATGACGAATCTTTTATTCATGATTTTAAAAGTATGATTTTTTCTATTATTATTTCTCATTATTTGCAACCTGTACTAATCGCGTTTTTGACTTCTGCAACCTAAATTTTTTTTTTAAATTGCAACCTGTAATACACGTTTTGTCTGTATCACAACCTAATGGCCATCGGAGTCCATATATCACAAAAAAAATGAGCGTGTGACTCGCACGCTACAACCTTGAGGGTAAAATGGACTTTTGCTATGATGTTTGCAGGACAAATTTGTCTTTCTGTCACTGAACATCTTCTCCTTAAAATGACACACGGGTAAGGAACAGAAAATCACGCGAGATTTATTTCTTGGAGACAGCTTGGAGACGATGGCTCAATTTTGCAATTGTGGCATCAATGTTGTTATGAAAACGTCGTGGACTGTTCATAACCTAGGAAGGAGATACATTTGTTGCTCAAAGTCGCGGGTAAGTGATTAATTAGGGTTAACCTA